CTTTAATTGTGCTTAAAAATTATAAGATGTCTTCAAGGCAAGCAGGGTGAAGAATGATGCTGAAACAAGAATGGAATTCCCAAATTGCTCCTTTTCTGAGGAGGAAGACCACATTCCTCATAGGGTACATGGGGTTGTGGGGATGCCTCAGAGCCCAACAGGAGGTGGAAACAGTCTGTCCCTTCACTGATGCACTGCCCAGCAGTGTGCCAGCAATCCACCAGGTGAATGGAGGAGAAGCCTCAAAACCCTTCAGCTCAACTCTCCAGTGCCCATGGCAGCTGGGGGAAAAACCATTGGCATCCCCTGCCAGCAGCAGGCATCCTGTGGGAAACACACCTCAGATGTGCCCACCCAGTGCCTCTCCTCAGGGAAAGTAAAATTACGGGATCTGGAAAGCAGAATCACAGAATGGTTTGAGTTGGAGGAGACCTTAAAGATCATCTCGTTACAACCTCTTGCCATGGGCAGGGACGTCTTCCACTAGACCAGGTTGCTCAAAGCCACTTCCAAGCCGGCCTTGAACAACTCCAAGGATGGGGCATCCACAGCTTCTCTGGGCAACCTGTGCCAGTGTCTCACCACCCTCACAGTGAAGAATTAATTCCTCATATCCAAGAATTTCTTCCTAATAGACAAAACTAAACCTTTTACTAAAATATGGAACGATTCATGAATTTGTGTGTCTGCCAGCACACCAAAAGCTCTTTCCTCTTTTTCATCTTAGTTAAACATCCAGCCCCTTGATGCTACAGCCTACCTCCTTCCTTAATCCCACTGCCTGTAACAGGACATGTGAGGAGCAATGAGGCACTGAAGACAATTCTGTGCTTGTGTCTATAGCCCAAAGTGAGTAATTTTATTGGTTTCTGCCTGAAGTAAAATTACTTAACTGTCTTTCTGAGTACTTGGGGGATAAGAAGCAGCGTATAAAAAGTACACGGCACTGCTGCATTCAGTGTGTGAGGAATTAAATGTCTGTGATTGGTATCCTTGAGAGATGGCTCTACATCCAAGGGTCTACCTCTGACTTGGTAGGAGCAGTTGGTGGGATTTTAAAAAGACAGACACATAAACACATTTTTACTGAAGATGTAGGTCCTGGCCTGCCTAATATTCTTTGACATTGCACAGGCACAGCCTGGAAACTAAAACATTTGTTGATGGATTTGGAGATTAAATAAATAGTGAATTATCTTCAGGATGTTAAAATGCAGAACTGACTGCCTACCCCATAATAGTAAACCAGCCCTCCCCCAGTACTTCTTGAAATGTGAGTATTTCTGCAAAAGCAGACACTGTGTTAGTTCACAGGGCCATTTGTTTAGTAGGTCAGAGCAGTCAGACATCTGGGCATTGGTAAAAATACATCCGACAGCTCGGTGGCATCTTGCACAACCGACTGTCTGAAAGCCTGGACTGGAAGTTTATTGTTTGTTAATCTCCCTTTTCAAATGAATTCCAATCATGCAGTCAGGAAACCACATGGTGGATCACAAAACACAATTAAAATATAAAAAGAATTCATTACAATTAAAATATAGCGACTGGTGAATATTAGCCCCACTGAAAACAGATCAAGGCAAGAGTTTTGTTCAGACTGGGAAGACAAATGTATCCCTGAGAATCAAAGGAGACTTGCTGGAGGATTTATTTGCCAGGAAAAGAAACGCAGACTGAGACAGATGACAGTACCTTGCTGCAGGGTACCAAAAGCCTCTAGTTCTCAGATGGCCTGAGTACCAAAGCATTGCTTACAGACAGTGAGAAATGGAGTCACTCAGCATCTCTGAGACAAATCCAGTCTGGAGACCCAGAATGAGGGAACAGTATTTTTTGATTGTTTTAACCTATATATAAAACAAGATTGTTTTAACCTATGTATATGTTATAACAACTACTACTCTGAGTGCAGCTTGAGCAAGTCCAGACTTCTGATTTGCTGTGTAAGTTTGGATTTGAAGATTGAAATCTCAAGTGTTTCTATCTCACTCTGACCACCACAGCCCAGAACTGCTATTCCATCTACCTCTGCTAATGCATTGCTGCTGACTTTCTGAGACCCAAGAAAGCAAAGTCTCCCTTGTCAGACATAAGGGGAATTACACTGATTATGTCGATGCCTGGAGTTTCTTTTCAAGAACTCACTGCCTGTTGTATTGGCAGTAAATCTGGATTGTACCCTTTATACAGCATTAGCTTAGTCTTTATATATTTTGTAGATGAGACATTAAAAGGGAATTTCAAAGTTTTGGAAGGTTGTATGGTGGAGATAACAGTTTAGGGCAAGGATACAGAAAAATTCTCCAAGTCAGGGATGCAGCCATGGCTTTGGTTGGTGGTATAAAGGAAGAGCTGAGTCCTCCCCAGTGTTGTGTGCCCAGCACAAGGGTCTTGCTCAGCCAGGAACCTGGCTGTGTGCTACACTGCTCTGCTACCCACAACTCGGTCACAACAAATGGCCCCAGAAGCACAGATGCACTGAGATGTGATTAACTCAAAGATAAAAAGCACAAAGCATACTTTTTGGAGTATGGAAAAAGTTTTGCTTTATTTTACAAAGTTAACTAATGGTCCTGCAGCTGATCTACTTTGCTCTCAAGATGCAGTAGCAACAGGGATTAAGATATAGTAGCAACAAAAACTAACATGGTCAAGAGCTTATTTGCTCATCTAAGTAATAAACAGTGGAAGAAGTTTCTGTCTCTGGAAAGTGATTAAACTGTCAGGCTTTCTGTCCAAGTAATATCCTACTAAAATACCCTGCCAGCATTTAAATTGGAGGATGCTGGCTACTGGAGTAAATGCTTTTAGGATTAATATACATAAGTGTGGAGTTAGCCATCAGCTCATCCTGGCTGCTAATAACACTGCTGCTGCTGGATCTCTGCAGTGATGAGATCCCTTTCCCAACAAACCTCCACCCAGCAGCAGCTCTCGTGGTGCCTGACCCATTATTTCAGATCCTCTCCAAAGAATTGGAAGCTCATGGGCATTGACAAATAAAGTGACGTGGTTTTCCTGAGCTTTTGAGTGTGTTCACTGACTGTCTGAGAAACAAAAAGCTGGCCAAGTCCACCCTGACCCGTGAGTGTCAGGCTGCACTGAGGCTTGTTTGGGTGGGAAGGGAGGCACCTTTGCTGGTCCCATTTCATTAATGACTCTACCAAAGTGGGGATAACGTGCCAGGAACATGATATAATGCCATGAGGGATGGCTGAAAGGATGTGCATGTTGTAATGGAAAAAGTTCACTTGTGGATGTGCTCAGTGCTCACAAAAGAATAAATCTGTTAGAAGACCACCAGTCCTGGGATTTGTCACAGGCAGTAGCATCTCCTGATGTGTGGTGTGTAGGCTGGGATACATTATTAGCAGTCAGAATCTGGACACATCTGAAAACTAAATCCTTAGTTTTCGAGGATGCTTTTAATAGGTGGGGTGTAAAAAGGGGTTAAGCACTGAGCCCTCTTGCTTCCCCCTCCCCTTTCCCAGGCCCAAGTGAGCTAATTGCCTTCAGGTTCAGGTTCTTCAAATAAGCTGCAGAGAGAGGATGGGGCAGCCCCACACCACAGGCAGCCTCTTCATAGGCTGACCTGTGAGTTCAAAACAGTCAAGACCCAGCACAGCCCAGGGAGGGCAGCTTGGTTCGCTTTTAGCCATCACAGAGATACGTCTCATGGGCGTTTCAAACTCAAGCCCTGGGGCCACCAGGGCAGTCAGTGGGGCAAGAGCCCTTCTGGGCATTGGGTTTGTGTTTCTGGCTGTCTTCTGGAAAAAGTACTTAAAATAAAAATGCTGCCCATGCCTCCAAAGACCATAAAATCTATTCCTGAAGTCTGCTGAAACCAGAGCATGATTTGAAGCTGGTTCAAAGTTTGCTGAAATTACTAAGAGCCTTGCCCTGGTCTCCCTCTAACCAACACACACCATTTCTTCAGACTTTTAATCTGCCTTCTTCTGTGTAACTTGGCTTCACATGTGGAGACTTCCAAAGCACAGGAAAAATGAAATACCGAGTAAGTGGGAGTAGCAGAAAATGCATTTTCCAAATGCAAATACCAATCAGTTGCTCCAGAGTCTGGCATTAAACAAATCTTTGGAGATGATGAATATTGTAACGGGATTGTCACCACAGCAGAATAAATGCCTAGCCTTAGTTGTCCAAGGTTGATTAAAAAAGCAGACGAGCTGCATACTGGTTGGTTTACAGTGTCTTTGCAACCTGGACTCACCTATGGACTGGAATGAGTTGCTATTCAAAGTGACATTCAGTTCTAGTTCCTTCACTGTGATGTTCAGCTTATTTAACCCAATTTGGTCAGTCTCAGAAACATACACAGTTTATTAGAGCTGTGTCATTATACCTCAAGCTGCAAACAATTAGTGTAAGTCTACAGAGAAGCCAGTCAACCATGCCCCAAAGCTCTCAATACCACATAAACCATACATCGAGTGAAACAAATGTTTTAGAAATCAGATGCCTGGGACTTTGCAAGATGAAGCAGTCAGAAGGCATTGCACAAGTCAGGTAGGGATAACTAGTGCTACTGCAGTTTAAAACCCCCTGCAAATGCCCATTTTCCACAGGTTAGGTGCCTTTAGGCATCATTTTCCCAAGGGTAAGTTATAAATTATTCCTGTACAGCTGCAGGGACAGTGTGAGGACACAGAGTGGCTAAGGTTGTACTTATGAGTATAAAGCTCAAGGAAAGAGGATATAGCAGACTGAACTTTAATTTATTTTCACTTATTCCCCTTGGCTCTGTCGAATGGAGAGCTTGGACCTGTGTTTCACCATGGGAGACCCCATCACCATCCTCCTACCCAAAATGTTTCTCCTCCCACTCCTCCCCTGCCCAGGCTGTCTCCTGTCCCACCATCTACATAGGACCCAAAGCGGTCTGTAGGAACAGGACAGGACCCTGCGAGACTTCCAGGGGTTCTGCCCCCCTGCAGCACCGGGGTTTGAGGGTCTAGCCCGGTGTTTTGTAACCCTACCTGATAAACGTCTCTGGAAATGCACCATGGCTTCAGCATGAGCTGCAGGACCCTCAGGTTTCCAAAGCGGCAAGTCCGCAGAGCCCGGGACGTCAGGCTCCACACCAGGCTGTCCCAGCTGTAGAGCAGATCCTCAAAGCCAAAGAGCACAGCAGCCATGCCAGCTCCCTGTGTGAATCACCCCGGATTCCCTGCTTAGAGGCAAACAGCTAATTCCAAGGTGCCTTTTGAACCGCAGGGTTAAAAAGTCACTGCAATTTCCATCAAAGAAGGAGAAATAAAAGCAAGAAAAAAAAAAATCAACCAGCAAACCACCAAACCAAAACGGACAACAAAAAAACCAGCAGCCAAAATAAACTGTTTGGGGATGTGCCTTTCTCCCTTCGCACACGCCCTTCAGGATGTGGTTTCTCCCTCTGTGTATCTTCTCAAAGTAAGTCCTGTTGCACCCAAAGATGAGCAAGGAAAAGGTAAAAATACCTCTCCTGACTTAGAAAGGCAATGGCACATCCCTCGCAAAGGGCTTCTTGGTAACACTGCATCACCTCCCAGCTCTCCGCTGCAGAACCAAGAGGCAAACTCGGATCCAAAGTCATCACTTTGCATGCTCGGTCCTGGGACTCCATCCAGAGGGAAGAAAAAAGCCGCTCACGCTCCGTCTGCCAACATTCCCAAGACATTCCAGTATTGGGCTTAACTCTTTCAAACACTCCCAAGGAACATCTGAGAAGGAAGCTTTGCCACATGCAACATTTCATCCTTTCGTTTCGTGTGTCGACTCCCCATCACACTGTTACACTCCAGTCTTTTCCTCACTAAGTTGCCTGTTCTGGAGCCTTTTTGTATTTTGAACCAAGAAGGGAACTTAATCTGTGCATGAGAATTATGCAACAGTTTGCCAAGCACCTTATTAACCCAAGGGGTGATATTTTGTAAAGTTGCATGGATTAAACAATGGCCTTTTAAAATCAGCCTGATTGAGCTGATGTGGACATATTTTTAACCCTTGATGAGATCACATTCATAAGGTTGGGTCTTCTCTGAACAAGCCCAGGAGAATGCAACACATTTCTTTTCATCTGAGCTGGATGCAAACCACCCTTTTTGGTCTACAGATACAAAAATGGCATCCCTTACTTACACTTCTTTCCATCCTTACAAACAGTTCTGACATCCCTTCCTAAAATAAGTGTTGAGGAGAGATCAGTTCCCTGACTGTTTCCCCTCAGGAGCACATTGTCTGGGTGGAGACTTCAATGCTGTCAACATTTATGAGGAGTTGAGCTGAGGGAACTGGTCCAGTGAGGGTGAAAATACACTATCAACATGAGGATTTTGCAGTTCAGTTAAATCACCACAAAATCATGCAGTTATGTTGCAAGACGTTTTCCAGCTCAATCCCATGAGTGCTTCTACATATTTAATCACCAGGTGAGGAAACTGAGGAGGAAGTATTTTTATCAAAGGCACAGTGCAAGCCAGTGCCCTTGGAGACAGCTGCCTGTCAGTGCTATTTTTCACTCATTTCACTCTCCCTTCAGAAGAATGTGCAAAAAAAGGCCACAGGACTTGGAGGGAGCTGACAGGAGTCAGTTGGAGAATGCCTACATGGAGTTGCTTCCAAGGAGGCACTTTTTAGAGGAGTAGGGAGGACAACACCAGTTTGGGTTGAAATCACAAGGGACTTGAACTCCTAAAGCTGCTGGTTTAGCAGAGCTGAGAAGACATAATTTCCCAAAAGTGTCTTCTCTGATTCAACTCCCTGGATAGGGAAGGAGCAGGAATATTAATATCTTCTTGATTTTCTGTAGGTCTGTCCCACCATGACCCCATCCATAATTTCTTCTTTGAGGACTGGAGGACACAAAGCGAGCCGTGCGTCACGATAACGGCACAAGGATGCTCGTCAGCTCATTGACAGGGCAGGTGGAGGGCCAGGAAAATACAGCTGCAAAATTCATGTTCTCAGCCTAATTGCTTCTTCAGGACTTCATTTTTAGAGAGGATTCATAAAATATGGTAATAAAATCGTAATAGTGTTTCCTTCAGACTTGTTAGAAGCTATTCATTCTGCAAAGTGCGGTTTTCCTTCCTCCTCTCCCTCTCCTTGCCTGTTTTCTTGGTGTCCAGCCTTTGCTGTAGTCTCCCTACGCTTATCATCTGTTGGTTGTTTGCCTGCCTGTAAACTCTGCATCTGTTAGCAGTGATGTAGACAAGGGATCAGGAACATCTCCATTATAAAGCCTCATTTGAAAGAAAGGTACTTTTTTTTCCTTATATATAAATTGACTAGACAATATTTGCTCCAGGCTACAGCCTGATATATAAGATCTCTGCCTGGGAGCACAGGAGGGGAAAAGAAAGAAATGTGTTTGATAAAGGAAAACAGAGGGGGGAAAAGAAACCGTAGCAAGTGATTGCTCTGGGATGTGACATAACCCCTTTGGTATTCCGGAAGGGGGAGAGGAGGGGAAATGGAGGATATACCACAGTTTTAAAATTAGCTACCCCATATGTGCATCAAGTCTTTCCGTATGGTTGAAAGGAGACTTTCAGCCCCCATCCCAACTCAGTAATTACTCAACAGATGAGGGCAGCTCTGAAGGAGCCTTTTCACTTGGCTGATGACATAATCAGACTTTCTGAAAACAGTTCTCCTACGTATTTATTTAACTGAGAGACTGGAGCAGTCCCTTTAGGAGTCACTTGAGTCTACAGAAAGCCCAGTGAACATTTCACTGGATAGATTTACCTTCATGATTAGAGCAGATTGTTTGGTTTCCTGGGGAGATTTTCCCGCTGATCAGACACATAATATTTTTTGAGAGGGTAAAAGCTGCCTGAGTACAGATAAACCATCCCACCTTGCAGCTTCTGAGGGAATTGCAACCATGGAGGTTTCTCAGACAAAGATAGCCCATCCCCTCTAGAGTCAACTACCAAAAGAGCTCTTTTCCAGGCAGACACCACAGAATGTGCTCTTTCCTATCCAAAAAAGTCAGAAGAGGTCATTGCTACTGGGAATGGCAGAAGAGAGGAGAAAAAATTATGAGAATCGGCAACTTGGCTCCTCTACTGGTGTACCCTTTAAGTAATTTCTGTAAAATCATCTTCTAATTCAATAAAACGTGCTCAGCTTCACCTTCACTAAGGTCAATTAGAAAAAAAAGCCCTTTGCACTCGACATAGATCTATAGACATTTGCAGGTCTTTTCCTCTCTAATTATGCGCTGATTATTTCCCGCTGTTTCTGAGAAAATGTCAGCCAAAACATTTACTATGAAACCTCCCACGTTTTACTGACAGTCCAAAGGCTGTTTCTAGGGTATAAAAATAGCTCCTTACTTCCCATGAAAAAAAGGAAAAGAGACCAAACCCCTTGGGCTGCTGTGTTGTTTCATGGGACTGTCACTGAGGCCTGAAGGCTGGGGGTGGATTTCCCAACCCAAACCCAGCCGGCAGCTCCTCCTCAGTGCAGACCCTGCAAATCCCTGCTGTGCACTGGTGTAGGTGGATGCTGCCTGCACCATGAGCTTGAGAGACAGGTCCTTGTTTGCCTTTTTATATTCTGGCCTTGGAAAGGAGAATTCAGCCTCTCTTTCCAGCATGGTCCACAGTAAATCTCTACCTACAGCTTCCCAATGGGTGTGGATGTATTTGGGGGTGCTGAAAGAAGGATGTGCTGTGTGGAAGGCAGTGTCCTTTGAGCTTGCTGTAGACATACCAGAAATATCCTGTTTCTGCTCCACATATGGCCCCAATGGTCCCTGCAGCTACAGCCCAACATGGTCTTTTAGGTTCTATTTCAAATTCATGTCCCTTTTTGATCTTTATTTCTCTAAAATGTAAAGAGGATTAACGTTGTTAGGATATTTGTGCCCAAAGTTCCCTTTCATGTTGCAGCTTCACGCTTTCTTATGTTGGAGATGTTTTTTTGAGATAAATAAATAACTAGTTACATTTTTCTCCTTGTGCCCTGATGGCACGTAATTTTTGTGACCAGTATGATGGGAATTGTTAGTGATGTTCCACTGCCAAGTGATCAAACACACCGAGCAGAAGCCATGCCCCTTCCTTCACATCTTCCCAGACAGAGCCAGGGTGCTCAGTGGAGATTTACAGAAGTGACTTCCCTCCCATAACTGAACTGAACATAGACCCTTGCAAGATTTCTTAATGGTCATTGTGCACCAAATCCACTACAGAACCTGAGCCTCTGAGTGCCCTATTTTCACTCAAACCAAGGTGCTGTCGTCCCTCATACTGGGCTTCCTCATCTTTCTCCTGACACCCAAGGAGGCTTCATAGAGATTTTTGATGTGTTCAGTGGGAGTTTCCCAAAGTGCAAGGGCAGGATACTATTGGCTTTATTTCTTGTACCTTTGCCAGGTTTTGCACTTTGTGTAGGAGAACCTTTGAGGGAAGGGTCTTAAAAGGAGCTGGGACTGCATTTGAGTTAAAGAAGCAAATCCTAAGACTTGAGGCTTATGTTATACAAGACAAGGAAACTTGTCTGAATTTAAGAGTGAAAATAGAGTATGGATGTCCATACTGCGTCTGCCAAGCACTTTGATCAGCTAAGGGTTGACCCTATATTCATTTTGAATTGCTAAAAGATTGTGACTTCAGTCTGGCTAGGCCACAACATCTGGACAACGATTTGCCTGAAACTTTACAGACTTGTAAAGGAGGTGTCAACACTCCTAGCTCACCTCTCTGGAGCTGTAAGAAAAGAAGCTGTACTTGGAAGCATCAGCCCAAAAATCTGCTCCCCCATGCAAATGTGATGCCCCTGTCGCACTGCTTCAGTTACCTCCTAGCTCTCACCTACCACATCCTTCCCAAACCAGATAGGAACAGCCTGACTCCCTGGTCTGCCACCACTGACAGCCCTTAAACTATCCTGCAGAGAAAATTCAAGAAACGGAGGATTTCCCTGCTGGTTGCATTTTAGGATGAACATCATGAGTCAGAAATCCTGAGCAATTTCTTCAAGATGTTCTCACGAGTCCATATGGCCTAAAATGTTCCATAATGAAATGAACTGCTGTTTCACAGTAATAACTGAATGAAAATTTACTGTTCCATCCATCCACCTTGATCATAACATTTCTAAAGCTCTTTGGAAATGTAAAGTGCTCTGGTAGTGCTGAGTATTATCGTTATGCAAACAGCAGCTCCCTCTGC